CCCTCTCCACGTAGCATCAATTATGCTAATGCTAGCTGCCTGTCACGTTCTCTCCTCCTGGCCACACCTCCGCTCTCTAACCCTCTCCCCTTCCCCACCCACACCCCCTCCCCTACCCACTTTGATGCATTTTTCAAATTTCGCCTTGGGGTGGAGTTATCTTTTCACAGGGGGGTAAGATACACTTTAAAGAGAGGAACAACCACCCCAGTCTGCCAATCCAGTGGCACTGCCCRCGATGTCCACGCMATGTTGAAAAGGCGTGTCAACCAACACAGCCCCACAARATCCAGCCTTGAGGAAATCAGGTTGGATCTCATCTATCCTCYGAACCCTACCACCATGGAGRTTTTTAACRACCTCAGCGACTTCAGCTCCAGTTATGGACAGACCAATCCCAGAGTCTCCAGATTCAGTTTCCTCWATGGAAGACATGCCAGTGGGATTGAGAAGGTCCAAGAAAAATTCCTTCCACRTCCTAATGACATTACTGGTTGAGGTCCACAGCATCTCYCCTTCACTGAGCACAGTGTTAGTGAAGTGCTGCTTTCCCCSCCTCAGTCGCCCAATAGRTTGTCAGAGTCTCCTCYGAGCCGAGTCAAAAGTCTTRGTCCATYKAATACAGCATGCACCATGGACAGAGTGCAGCACAAATTTATTCTACAAGGAAAAAATAAAGKGTAAAGTTATTAGCAGCATTAGCTAGATTTACAGCAAACATATTACTTCACTTCATTTGTTCAAACAGGCAAACTATTTCTCATTAGCATTTGGCCGTCCCAAAGGAAGACATTAATAGTCGACTCTGCCTGGTTGGAATGGATCAAATCACCTCTCAGGGACTCTGAGACTTTTAAACAACTCCACAGCTGTTGATGCTCATAAAAGAAGATTAGATKAACTGAAAATGAAAGTTTAAATGCAATTATATCAACTCAATTTAACAATATTCCTGCTTTGACTCTTTTACAGTATTGATAMAGTGGATTACACACACATAGTAAATAGCCCACTGTTGCCCAGTAAATATAAGACACATTTGTTGTCATTTTGATCTGTCTCATTAAATTAAACCAACCTGGAAAAAAGTTTGTTGTTTTTTATCTTTAAACTCCCGTTCACTAAGTGCTGTAATGTGACTCTGAAAGGAAAGTGAGTTGCCAATAGAGTGAAAGCATCATCCAGCAGAGAAAATGCCACCTGAGTMCCTTAAGTGCCAACAGCTTTGCACAAAGAGTTCTTCATGGTGGCTTCTGGATCTGAATCAAGGTGCAGATAAATCGATGTGCAGCGTTTTGTTCTGTAAAAAGCACAGTATGTTCCAATGTGCCATTTTCTGCAAACTATTTATTTATTTGTCACATTTGATGATATAATTTGCTGAAGCAGACAAATCAGAGTTGTAGTCCTTGGCATCCTCTCCTACTGCGGTCAGTGTTCCTCATCATAACACAAGCTTTACTTCCTGCTCCTTCATCCATGTTGTCCAACAACCTGTGTCTGTACAGTACAGTATCTGTGTGTATCTGTATGTACAACCCTCCCTCTTTAGACAGAGTGTTTATTTCACTGCATTTGAATGGATAATGCTTCAGACACTGAAATGTTAATAAACATGACAAAAGTTTTAATCTGTACCTAGAAAACCCTGTTCATGGAGAAACAGCTGTGGTGTCTTCAACATGATTAGTGTTGTGTTGTTTACTGTTTAGTGTGTTCAATGGAGATAGATAGATAGATAGATAGATAGATAGATAGATAGATAGATAGATAGATAGATAGATAGATAGATAGATAGATAGATAGATAGATGATAGATAGATNGATAGATAGATAGATAGATAGATAGATAGATAGATAGATAGATAGATAGATAGATAGATAGATAGATAGATAGATAGATAGATAACACCAGTAAATTATTGCACTTTCATCCAGTTTAAATGAACATGAAGACTTTTTCCTTTTTTCCCCCCTGATTTTGAAACATTTTTGACAAACAAAATGTTTGGTTTAAATCTGTTTCAATCAATCAGTCAATCAAACACATTTATTTCGAACATGATAGCAGTGTAAAATAACAGCCATACTTTTGAGTTTTATGCATGCTTTCATTTTGCAGCATATTTGTGTCAGTGATAAGCGCTTATGTTTGTGATTTTTCAGTTCTAGGTTGCTCACGATGTACATTTATCTTCACATTTTACCTAAGAGTAAGACAACAGGACACAACACAACAAGAACAGTTTGTCTTTACACATAAAAAGATACAACCCTTAGCTGAGACATCATACCTTCACAGTTAGCTACATGCTAATATAGACAATATTATTTCATGGAAAACACTGAACCAACAGGAAGTCAATAATCTATTGTTTGCTTCAGATTTTTTGGCACTTTGAACAATGTAACTACATGTTATCCTAATGAAAAAAGATATTSTTTTTTAGGTTTTGGCAAAACTCGCAGTATGCCACAGGATTTGTTCCGTACAGGAGTAGGTAAAGTATGAGCAGTGCTGTGGTTTGGAAGGCCTTGTTTGCCCCTAACCTTTTGGTCTTTTCTGTCTTCCTGCCTGGCTTCAAGTTAATCTTTTTCTAAGTTGCGTAACTTAATTTTGCCCATTGGAAATAAAAGAAAACAGAATGTAAAACAATGCCTGAGTGAATCAGGTAAAAGCCTTCTGAGGTAGGGTTCTAGAAAAGTTTGTAGAAAGACTTTCAGCTGTTTCCATTTCAAAGAATCTGCTTCTCCCCCTCTCTTACTCCATTTCTCCYTCCCACTACAAACAATCTTTGGGTTTTCTTTTTGCTTTAAGTATTGCGGCCTGAAATCTCTCAGCTAGGCATTTTGATCAGTGTCTCTTTTTTAGATTTTTGTCAACACAAGAGTAAGTATTTAGTGTCAAACTGACAGGTATCTCCAAAAAGGGAGGGAGAGCCTGTTTTTTATTTAATTTCAAAGGTGTCCATGTTCTGTGAGTTTAACACCAGCCTGTGTCTTTGTCTCCCCTCAGAATAAGTTAACACATCCTCCCCAGCCTCCTCAGTCCTCAGATGGATCTCAAGCCTCAGTCCTCTGTGACAAGTCTCACTGCATCCTTTTATATAGCCCTGCCATTATTAGCTGTTTCCAAAATTCAAAAAAATGAAACAACACAAAGGCTAAATTCAGTAAGGATGCAAGGAGCATAAGAGGAGGCAGGTTGGGATTCATCTCACTGCTTTACCTTCATATATCTGAATGACCTGGTCTTGTGACTTTGTCCAGATGAGTTCAGTCCATACATGGGCAGGAGGACGTCCAGCACTCTGTCTCTGATTAACGGATCAGCATCTCCCAGAGCAGAGCCCTCCGGTTCTCAGTCTGTACCGCAGAGGAAAAAACTCCTGAAGGCTCCCAGCCTTGCTGAGCTGGACAGCTCTGACTCAGATGTAATTGTTTTTCTGTTTTTTTTTATATAATTTAAAGAATAGTTTATTTTTAGTTTGTGTAGAACAAAAGATGAGTGACGTGTTAAAATTGTTTGTACATTCAGGACGAGCTGGTTGGACGAACATCAGTGAGCAGCTCCAGTGTGGCGACATCAGTGATGGATGATACGTCCCCAGAGTCTGTGCTGGGGAAGAAAAGTGAGTCAGCAACATTTTCCCAATCTGTCATCACATCTGAACTGTCTTGTTGACAAAAGCACAACCTGATAGTGGCTGATTAGTTGTAAATYTTACAACCTGGTCAGATATGGTTCCTGCATCTGTTCCTTGTATTTTTTAATCAAACAAATACAGCTATGCAAACAAATAGTGCATAAACCATACCAGGTATGTACATAGCCTGAAATGATCAAATTATTATGTAATTAACTGGTAAAAACTATATAAGTCACAAGGTACTGTATGTACTAGATATGTTTCAGGTATGCAGCCTATAAGTGCCATGTAAGTATCAGGGTAAGTACTAGTAAGTGACAGGTAAGATACCTGGTGAGTACAACATCAGCTAATCATCTGGTATCTGGTACTAATGGGGTACATACTTGGTACTTGCCTGATGCTGGGTATGTACCAGGCACACAATATACAGTATATAGGTACTTGGTACATACCAGGTACACACCCAGTATGTATTAGATATATAATAGGTATGTATCAATTGCATAATAGGCACATAGCCTATGAGTACTCAGGAAGAGCCATAGTGTTCTCAGGGTATGTACGGCAAATACAGGGTACGTATCATGTAAGTATCAGTGTAAGTACATAGTAAATGCAAGGTACGTACCCAATGAGTAAAATGAAAGCCACTCATCTGCCATCTGGGTACTTACAGGGTACATACCAGGTATTTGACTAGAGCCAGGTATGTACCAGGCACAAAATAGATACAGTAAGTACCAAGTGTATAGCAGGTATGCAGTACCTACAAAGTATGTAGGAGGCACCAGGAATTTGTTGAGATGCATAAGGATACCTTGAAAGAACCATATAAGTCTCAGGTTATGTACTAGGTACCTACCTGGTATGTAAGTAACTTGTAAGTTTATGGGTATGTACAGTAAGTATGGTGAGTATCCCTTATCACTTTTTAAGTGCCATGTATGTACCCAGTAGGTAAAAGAACCTGGTAACTACTAGATAACTACATACTCGGTGACTACTTGGTAAGTCACTCATTTGGCATCTGGTACTTGCTGTGTACATATCTGGTATTTGCCGGGTGCCAGGTATGAACCCAGTGTGGGCCAAAGCATCTTTATCTCCCATCCTGCGTCTGTGTCCTTCAGCTCCACCCATGTTCCTGCCCATCTCCTCCACACCTCAGCCAGAGAGGCGTCAGACCCCGCAGAGGAGACACTCCATCGAGAAGGAAACACCCACCACTGTGCGACTGTTTCTGCCACCTTCCAAACAAAGCTCCAAATCTCTGGTGAGTAACTTCACTGCATCCCATACCCTAATAAATTATYAAATATAACATTTCAACATTATATTAAAGAGTTAGAAATAATTCATTGTAGAAAACACATCATTCAGTGGGAAAAAACTACTCTAATCAACAGCATATAGTCCCCACCCCTACCATCACCCCACCCTTTATCTTCCTGTTTACTCCAGCTCAGAAGGTGGTGGTAATGCACCTTTCAGCTGGTTTGGTTTTTAATGCACAGGGAGGAAATTCAGTAAAACACACTGAAAAAATACATCCCTAAATACAAACTAAACAAAATGATAAAATAACTCCAACTACAAGACAAACCCAAAAWCCCAGGATCATGACAAAAAGACATATTTTAGGGACTAACCCTCCTTGGGACATGGTACACAGCTGACTGACAGCTCACAGTAACTGAATGGGTAGGAGATTTTTCTTTCTACAATCCGTATGAGTTCCTGCACTGTCATAAAAATGTTTTCATTCAACAACTAGTTTAAGCAAAACATGGTGTACAATGCTTTTGTTCACTCAACACTGGGCAATTCAAAATGTAAGTGTGTTTTTTTATGGGAAAGAAAACTTATTAGGGTCAAAATTTAAGGTAAGGACAATAACAGCTGTGATTTTCAGTGAATATATTGTACCTGTTTTACAAACCTTCATAAATCGAAGTACAATAATAACTGTTGTTGTTACAGGAAGAGTTCTGTTTCCCTGTGGAGAGTCTGTCCCTCACCGTGGAAGAGGTGATGCACATCAGACAGGTGCTGGTGAAAGCAGAGCTGGAGAAGTTTCAGCAGTACAAAGACATCTACAACGCCATGAAGAAGGGAAAGGTTAACAGGCTTTACAATAATTTAATAACCTTTGTGTTACCACTCTGAATGAGCGTTTCTGGTCTCACGTCAGAAAAATATCAGGCTTAGGTTGTTTCCTCMGCTCCAAATTCTCAACCTCTCTTCTGTTAGGCACTGTCGTCAGTTTGTGTAATTGTGCTTACACAATGGCGTCATCTGCAAACTTAATGATGGTCTTATAGGTGGGTTTGCAGTTCTGAGTGTAGACAGACCAACCCATTCTCACTCCCGACTCGTCACCATATTGACGCTTGGTCAGGTAGCCGTCTGCATCCAGGTTTGGACGTGTCGGGTACCCCSCTTGCGTCAGTTCTTAACGGAGGAGGAGGGCATTGTCATATTTTTGAAAACAGTAGGAAATGCGCGACAACTAACCATCCCAGACCCTAAACTTAACTTCTATTAGCTCTATACAGCCTATCCCTGACCTCWGTACCTAAAATTAACCATTAATCCTGATCCCTCATATTAACCACAGARCCCCCAACCCAAAGACCCCTACGTGGCGCAACCCAGAAAAGCCACGGGCGGCAATGACTGACGTGATTGGGGTACCCGACGCATCAAAACTGGACGCAGACAGTACCTGACCAAGGGTCAATATGGTGACGAGTCAGGAGTGAGAATGTGTTGGACAGACAGACAGAGAGGTCCAAATCTCCTCTCGGCCCTGCAGCAGGGCACAACAAACTGAACAGGCTCCTCAGAAATTTGTGTGGCATTTTTTCTTCTTGTCATTGAGTTAACACACAAATAAAAACAAACTGCCTTTTTTTAGACACCCTGGTAATTAGTTATTCAGCTGTATTTTTAGCAGCAACTGTAAATTCCCCTGCAGTTGAAACAAAAAGTCTAGATTTAGTTTTTTACACACTTCTTTTGCATTTTGGTTTAGTGATAGTGTAAGTAATGACAATATAACATATGTTTGTTTTCTGTTCATCTGAGGTTGTATTTACTTAATTTTAGTAACTGGTAGGAACTAGAACAATTTTTATTTAAAAAAATTTACTCAAKTGTGGGTTGTGTGTATCCACAGTATTTCTGATTTTGCGCCACTTCCCATAATTCATTGCAGAAACTGGTTTTATATTTCCGCTTGTGCTATTGTTTACACTTACGGGTATACACCATTGCTGTTTATCAAAGTATTTTTCACTGAAGTTAGGCGTAAATGGCAATACGTCAGAGGTGTTTATATTGTAAGGATGTTTTAAAAAAAGCATTGAGGACAATGCCAGSGGGGCGGACTAGCGGMCTYTCATGGCAGCCTACATATGCTTTTACAGAAACCTGTGGAAAACTTTCCTTTGAGGAAATTGTTTTTTGTTCCYGTATGTGTGATTTTTTGCTTTTTTCTGTTTTTGAAATTTTCATTTCTTTTCCTTCTTGCAGCTTTGCTTCAGTTGTCGAACCAAAAGGTTTTCCTTTTTCACCTGGTCTTACACCTGCCAGTTCTGCAAAAAGTAAAACTTTTAAAAATATTTTTGCATTGTTTATGTGTTTTCTGCTTTGTATTGTTTTCACTCATTTCTTTCTGTTTTATGTCTCTGTAGGCCTGTTTGCTCACAGTGCTGTAAAAAGGTAGGTCCCACAGAACAAAGCAGCTGCTTGCACATTAGGAAATGTAGCTTTTTTTGTTTGTGTAAAAACAGTATGCTCTTATTAAAAACAATGTAAAAATATATATATTTTTGAGACAAAAATCATACATCAGTCACACTGAAATGAGTCCTAATCTGATCTAAAAGACTACATCTTAAACTAAACTATACTATATATGTATGAAAGACTAAAACTGACAGAAGAGACATTTGGCTAAGGTTGATTAGCTGTGGCAGCCATAWTTTAAACTRATTCACCCTTGGGCCTTTGATGGTGGGAACTAAACATAATAAAAATAATAATTCACTCATCATTTGTTGCTGTAACTGCAAGAACAATAAAATCCGTRCTTCAGGTGACTATTCTCTTGCTTCTTATTAACGTTTATACCTTCCATTCTCTAACAGATGCGGCTACCATCCAAACCTTACTCCAGTCTGCCAATTTACTCCATTGGCTCGACCAACACTCTCCCCAGAGACAGAATAAATGCCATGGCTTCTGTAGGACAAGGACTCTCTGTGGCTGGGGGTCCGGGGCCGTCAGTGATGACCAGAGAGCCTGGTGCCTCCCCAGTGTTTAAAGGAGCTACAAAAGCAGCATCTAAAGGAGCTGGAAAGGCTACGGGAGCAGCAGCAGCTGCCAAAACTGACAAATCCTCCGGGAGCCAACAGCGTCACGGCATTCAAAAGACCATGTCCAAGTAAGCAACAACAAACATTTTGATTTGTTCTCTCAAAGGGTGTGTGTCTCATCTTTTCAACTAAAAGTGCTGAAATTGGTGTCACYGATGTACAAAAACAGAATAAAGGGTTGAGATAATATTCCTCATTTAAAATAAAAAATGCAGGATGTGCAACTTAGAATAAACTGCAAACAAAAGCCAGTTTAGTGGTTGCTTGGGTTCAACATTCTTATTACTCAACAGGTGGACTTATGCTCCTCTTTTAGAAGGTCAATACTGACATCTAGTGAACAAAATCACAATMACCAGAACAGCAATGACAGTAATGGGAAAAAATATTCCACTATAGATATAAACTTTACCAGTCATGCACAGCATGTTCATGGTTCCACTCTGGCCCACTCTTCTTTACAATGTTGCTCTGGTTCATTAACGTTTGCAGACATTTGTTTCTGCTCAGCTCTCTTAAGGTCCCACCACAGCATTTCAATCAGACTGAGGTCTGGACTTTACCTGGACCACTGCAGCAGTTTGAGCCTTTGCTTCTGTATTTGTTTCCTTGGCCTTTTTGTTGTGAAAACACTGAAAGAGCTATGGGGCATAAAATTAGCATAAATTGTTATTCATATAAATAAATTCTTACTTGCACAAGTAACAATTGAATGACTCTTCAAAGCATTAAAGACCTTAAACACATAAACTTTTACATATTATTTATTTATTTATTTATTTATGTAAAAATAAATAGAAATTCCAGTTAAACCTTTAGCAAGTAGAAGTTTTCCTTTATAAATGTAACTTTCTGCTAACTTAAGCATTTGAACTGTTACATACTAGAGCTCTATAGCACTAATATCAATGCAGAATGATACCTGATGCATGTATAAAATGAAGTGTCTCTAACAGCAGTAAAACATATGAAAACAAATAATACTGTTCCCATTCAAACTATAGGCACTCAAAGAGTCTGTAAAACCGTTCAATCCCTAGCAAAGTTCCCTCATCTTTTTCTGCCATATTCAAACTACCAGCAGTCACATAGATGCACGTAATCTAACAGGAAGTACATCAAAATAAAAGCTCYGTAAAATGATTMATTTTATTTAGCAATAATYTTGCATGTACACACATAGTACATCCATTATTAGTAGTTGGATAACACAAGAAAGTGAGAAGCAGTTATCTCCATCAGGTCCAAATGAAATTAACGAGGAGCTTTTCCGGGTCTGTTACAGTTCTGTTGTCGATCTGCTGCTGTCTTTGGAATCATTGTCCTGTTTCATGACCCAGTTTGGTCCAAGTTTCAGCTGTCATTCAGTCAAGTGACCTCACATTTGACTCTAGAATAGCTCAGGTCCATGGCTGAAAAWCAAGCCCAAACCATCATCCCTCCACCACCATGCTGGACAGTAGTATGGTGTATTTGTGCTGGTATGCTGTGTCTACTTTTCCACAAACAGAATACTGTGCATGGGTAATATTCAGATCTGAGTAAACCATAAGATAAATTGAGTTTGCAAATTTGCATCAATGCATCTTTCCAGATTGATTTGTTGCAACAGTTGTCTCTCAGAGGCTATTGATGATGTCTTGTGTTAACACACAGCAGTAATCTGCCTAAACTCATAAATCCTTTGGAAACATAAAGGGTTGACTTTTGTTTGATAGTTAATGAACATGGAGGAAACTGTTGTGTATTTTAGCACACTTGAAGTTATKTATAAGTAATGTTCAGACCTGGTAAAGACCAGATCCTTTTTATCATGTCTTGAAATCAGGTGTAATTTATTTTCACAGGACAAAAGTTCATTGTTCTGACTCTGTCGTTTTTCCACGTAGGCTTTCGAAGCATGGCTCTTTAAAGTCTCACGAAGAGCTGGAGCTCCCCCCGGAGCTGACAGAGGACTGGGCCACCATGGAGGTGTGTGTGGACTGCAAGAAGTTCATCTCTGACATAATCGCCTCTAGCAAGCACAGTCTGTCGCTGGCCACAAAGAGGGCTCGCTTAAAACGCAAGACGCAGTCGTTTTACATGTCGTCCCCCAAAGGAGCGGAGGGATACAGACCCTCAGAGCGGACGATCAACGAAATCTGAAACTGCACATGCGAGGTCGAGTCAGAGAATACTCACAAATGACTCACAGGAAACCTGGAAACASACCACCGGATAGCAGCATGCTGCAGGACTGCTATTCTTTGTAATTTCTTTTTCAATCTCTTTGATTTCAAAAAACATCCTATAATACCTGACCACAGACTTTTAAATCAGACTGAACTGGAAACCCCAGCAGACCGACTTTCTCACCTCTGATGGCACAGCTGTGTCGTTCAGCTCAGCTCTTGTTCAGTTTAAAGCACAAAAGAGAAGAAATTCTCTTGTAAACTGAGAACGATGCTCAAACAAACCAGAATATTAGGATGTGCGTTTTATATGGATTATAATTTTGTTTTTGTTTTTACTAACGTGTGTGTGTGTGTGTGTGTGTGTGTGTGTGTGTGTGTGTGTGTGTGTGTGTGTGTGTGT